GTTCCTTTGTGCCCCCTTTAGAGTTAACCCCATCCCCATAGAAAATTTTTCCACCTTTCCTCTGGATACACCTTGCCCAAGTTTAGGCTTCTAACATCAGATTAGTGATTTTAGTAACAAATATTTTAAATAAAATTTAATAAAATTGGCACTTTATGTAAACTGATTTATGTGAAATACCCTTATGATAAGATAAATTTCCCTAGATGAATAAAAAGGTGAGTATGACGTGTATACTAATATGTGAATTAGAGTTGGAGGTTCATCCTTTTGCCTCTATAACTGGGATAACATAAAAGTATTGGTAAAGAATGTTGAATGTAATCATTAGAATGCCTGGTTAAAGAAATTCTAATATAGTGGTTCTTTTATAGAGCTTTTGTTTTGTTTTTTGTTTTTGACCTTAATAAACTACTCAGAAGAGATAAATTAATCACTAGTTTTATTAGTCTTGCTAAAATACAGTCTCACCATTGTTATTTTTTGTGTTGTAGTCAAATGAAGAAGACTCTAATGAATAAACGTGTAATTGAACCTAATTATAGTACTGGCATGAAGGAACAAGGATAACATTTGTGTTATAGTGAGAGAGAGTCACTATGTATACTGAAAATGTGATTTTTGTTTTACCTTAGAAAGCATATAACCCGTGTTGATTTACCAGTACATTATTCTGTCTTTAACTTAGAAAAGATAATACCTTTCAACCTTGTGTCAGTACAGATGTAAGCATTCTTGTAATGACTTTTTCACTAAGGCAAAATGTTTTTCTAATCATGATAGCTTATATTGAGTGCCATTTCTGAGCCAGGCACTGTTTCTGAGCGCATGCATTATTTCTAGATCCTCTAAAAATCATTATAGAAATAACATCTTAAAATGATGAAACAGGCTAGACTGGAAAAATAACTTAACCTAGATGACACAGCCAGTTAGTGATGAAATTGAGATTTGAACCTATCCTGTTGTGGTATTTTGAGGGAAGAAGGGAATCTTGGTCATATATGTGAAAATCAAACTTTGACGCTTAGAAAAAAATACACTTGTATATCTTTATAACACGGGGGTAGGAGAGGATTTCTTAAACAAGATAGAAAAATATCCATAAAGGTAATGAATGATGAAGTTGTGTTATAATTAAAAATGTCTTACAAAGGACACAATAACATCGGCTAACACTTATTGAATGCTTACCATGCACTAGCATAATGCTGTATGTTGTTATGGGGACATAAATGTGTAATAAATATATAAAAAGACATTGAAGGAAATAATACAAGAATAATACACACCACCTTTAACGTGGTAATAACATCTGGGAAGGAAGGGAAGGAAATGAACAGGAAAATTTTAGCTGCATCTGAATTGTTGATAGTAAAGTTGTAACGGTTAAGAGTGCAGCTTCTACTACATCCTACCTTGTGTGACCCAGGACAAGTTTCTTAATGTCTCTGTTTCTTCATCTGTAAAATGGGAATATTAATAGTATATCGCAGGGTTGTAGGGATCAAATGAGTTAATACATTTAAAGCACTGAGAATAAATCCGTTGCCATCGAGTTGATTCCAACTCATAGCGACCCTATAGGACAGAGTAGAATTGTCCCATAGGGTTTCCAAGGCTGTAATCTTTACAGAAGCAGACTGTCACATCCTTCTCCTGAGGAGCAGCTGGTGGGTTCGAACTACCAACCTTCACTTAGCAGCTGAGAGCTTTAACCACTTGCACCACCAGGGCTGCTTATGGTAAAATGTTAACACCTGTTAAATCTTATACTACACTACTCTATGTGTTTGTAATAGACCATAATTTAGAAAACAAAGCAAAAACTAAAACCTTGATCATAATGAGCATTTCACAGCTTCATTGTAATGAGGAAGCCAAGGAAGCGAACACTGGATAGTGTGTGTCTCAGAGGAGCATGGCCCATAAAACTGAATGTTCGAGTTACTTTTTTTCAAAACATTCATCAGGCTTACCAATTTATTGGCCAACAGCCAATGCTGCTCCCATAAACATAATGTAAAGTGTTCCCTAGAAGCAGGCTTTGTGTTTCTCTTATAGAGGGTGAGGTTAAACCAACAAAAAAACCCTAGTTATCTTGTTTATGCCAAAGTAGTGAAATACGTGACTAATCAGCAAACGCAGGGGACTCATCTGAGCTACTGGGCCAAACAGTGTAGGTAAACAAGGGAATTTATGTAAATATTTATAAGGCATTGATAACCAAATATGAGTAGGCAACCAAAGACAACTGAAGTTCCAGAAGTCTCTTCATTTGCCACTGTGAGGGAGGTAAGAGTGGGGAAATGGATGTTTGTAAGGAATCTGTAAGTATAGAAGTTGCAGTAAAGTTAACACTTAAGAAAAACAGGAGCAGATTGGGGTTGCTGTTTGTTATGAGAAAGGAAAGGGATCAATAAGGAGCCAGCCCTGTTATTCTTCTTGGTGTCTAGATTGCAAAATGACATTTGTGGCCATTTGACATTAATATTGTTGATGTTTTTGTTAAGGCAGCTAAGAATGGAGCAACAGGTGTGGAGTTGGACCTTGAGTTTACTTCTGACGGGATTCCTGTCTTAATGCATGATAGCACAGTGGATAGGACGACTGATGGGACTGGTCGACTGTGTGATTTGACATTTGAACAAATTAGGAAACTTAATCCTGCAGCAAATCACAGGTTGAGGTAAGTGGCTTATTGTCACTTAAACGTATCTTTCACCTTTGTTTGAAAACCACAGATGAACACTGGCACCTTCTAATTGCATCTTCTGCTCCAGGAGAGTATTTTTGTTTTGTTTTGTGTTGAACTGTATACAGGTTTCCTGAGTAAACAAATAATTTCTTTTATAAGGATCAGCAAAATGTCCCACATGTCCGCTTTTCCAAACTGCTGTACCACTCCATCATCTTTAACATCAACTACTCTCCCTCCCCTCAGTACCCTCCCTCCCGTCTTTGGGTTACCTAATTCGCTGCAGAGTCTCACAGAACTCATGAACCGTATATCAAGGAAGTGGCTCACGCAGTTGTGGAGGCTCGCAAGTCCCAAATCCATGGGTCAGGCATAGGCTTCTACCGACCTACGTGGCTGCAGGGGCTGACGAACCCAAACTGGCAGGTCAGACCACAGGCTGCTGGCTCACGAGGCTGCGAAAGCTGAGGAATCAGGTCAGACAAGTCCAAAGTCAGCACAAAGCAAAAAATGGTTAGGATCAACATCACCTTTAAAAGTCCTTTAAGAAGGCACCATATCAGAAATCAATATACCATGTTAATAACTCTTAACCAGTCTTTGCTCCAAAAGAAGAGCATGTTGCATTTCTTTGATAGAACACCAAATGAAGTGATTTGCTTGTGTTTAGGGACCATGTTGTAGGAAAAATAGGTATTTTATCTATACACCCACTCCTCACTTATTGACATGGTTAGGTTCCAAAGACCAAGTTGTTATGTGAAAATCGGCGTCATATGAAGATGGAGAATGACCATATCAGATCACAAAATGGAAGGTGACTACATCATTACATAACTATCAAATTACATCCTTACATAACTGCCAAACCACTGAGAGTCATGGCCTAGCCAGGTTGACACATAACCTTAATCATCACAGCCAGTGTTACTCTTGCCTTGCACCTCAGCGTTCATTACTGCCAGACATACGTAGTTAATGTGCAAAATGGTCAGTAGATTTTTTACTGTTGTCATAAATGTGAAATGTCGGATACCGAGATAGTCGATAGGTGAGGAGTAGGTGTAATTATGTTCAGTGGTGAGACGTCCATCCTTGGAGGGGGCATGGAAACTGAAACTAGCCAGTGGAAGAGCAGAGTTAGGTCTCCCATCTCTCACTCCCCAGCAATAGACATTGAATAGAACGGCTGGCAGAATCGCCTATACCATTTAAATTATCTTTATCCTTTTTTAAAAAAACTAAGATCTTACTGTTGAAATAATAAAGTTGAATCAGCTTAAGTTAAATCATGTATAATTAAATTTAACTGTGTAAGAAAAGCTATTTTCTTATGTATCCGGCACTTAACCTTCATTTTCTTTATCCAAAAATTATCTATTAGAAAAGTAGTTAAACGGTTACACTTAAATAAATGCACAACAATAAACTTGACAGATTTGTTTATTCCCAGAAGTTTGTCCTGCGTCGGGCACTGATGATCTTAAAATGAAATCTCTGAGGTCTCCAGAGGTGACATACATTCTGCCCATTGGTCAGAGAGAATTAGTGATTATGTTATTAATTCAGTGATTTCCTAAAAATTAAATGATTTTTGTTCTTATTGCTGTTCTTTGGTCATGAATATCTGTAATTTGGTTCAAGTGCTAGTAGTAGTTATCCTTGGGCTTTGGAATGGTTGAAGAAGAGAAGTTGGGGAAGACACTCTTTCCTTTTGGTTGGGAGACATTTGCAAAATGTCTGTTCCACTAAACTTTTATCTTTTTCCTACAACCTACTACTTCCTTTTCCCTTTCTTATAGGAATAATTTCCCTGATGAAAAGATCCCCACCCTGAGAGAAGCCGTTGCAGAGTGCCTAAACCATAACCTCACAATCTACTTTGATGTCAAAGGCCATGCAAATATGGTACAGTTTATACCATGGACTTCACTTTTTAAAAAAGACATTTCATTTAGTTGTTAGTCATTTCCAAAGTTAGCGATGTATTTTATTATTTATTCTTTTTCTTAAATTATTTTTACAAATTATATTTGCTTAATGGAAGTATACAATGCAAAAATCCACATCTTTAAGGAAACAGTACACTATGGAACTGAACCTTTTAATAACTCCTGATGTTCTGTAACCAGCACAAAGGGGAAGAGTCAGGTTTCTTTTATTTGCATAAAGCATTTACAAAAGATGTTAAATAGTAAAGAGACACTTCTAGAACAGACCACTCAACCTCATAAAAAGGAATCCAGGAGTTGAACACAAGACCAATTGCATCTGCCTGTTAAGGATCTTAGCTGGACAACAGTGGACTACATTGAAAGAAAATCCTCGTATTTAAAGCTTTTGAGAGCTAGCAGGATATCTTTTACATAGGTTTAATCCCTTTTGTATGGTTTCTGATATAGTTTTGTTATTCTGTGACTTGCATAATTATACTTTTATCAGAAAATTACTGTATTTTCTTTAAATATATGTAACATTCCTGTCTTAGTTATCTGGTGCTGCTGTAACAGAAGTACAAGTGGGTGGCTTTAACAAACAGAAATTTATTCTCTCACAGTCTAAGAGGCTAGAAGTCAGAATTTAGGGTGCCAGCTCCAGGGGAAGGCTTTCTCTCTTTGTCAGCTCTGAGGGAAGGTCCTTGTCATCAACCTTCTCCTGGTCTAGGGCTTCTCAGCACAGAGACCCTGGGTCCAAAGGACTTGCTCCGCTCCCAGCACTTCTTTCTTGGTAGTATGAGGTCCCTCACTCTCTGCTTGCTTCTCTCTCCTTTTATCTCTTGTAAGATAAAAGGTGATGCAGGTCACACACCAGGGAAACTCCACTTGCATCGGATCAGGGCTTTGACTTGAGTAAGGGTGTTGCATCCTACTCTAATCCTCTTTAACATAACCTTATCTTGCCTCATTAACCACAGGTAGTGATTAGGATTTACAACACATAGGACAATTCCATCAGATCACAAAAATGGAGGACAACCACACAATAGTGGGAATCATGGCCTAGCCAAGTTGATACACGTTTTGGGGGGACACAATTCAACCATAACAATTCCTAAAAAAAAAAATTTGCTTAAACTTTAGAGCATATACTTCTACTCATAAAAACATTGCTATGGAAATGATTGGGAAAATATGGTTCAGATTACCTTTGTTCTCTTATAACCAGCTTTTCAAATAAAAACACTTCCTTTCCCATTTGGACAAAGAAGTTTGTTTCTCCCCCCTAGCAATAGCTACAACCAGTAATGACCATCTACTAGTTGAGAATTCTGATGATGTCGTTTTTTGTGTTTTTTTTTTAATTAATCCCAGGATATAAGTGAAGCCAGTTGCTCTTAAAATCTGAAATGCAAGCCTAAAGATAAACTCTTTAATTTTAGTACAGTAAGCTCGCATTTGTGAAGAAAGGGGGGAATGGTGCTCTGGGTAATTTACTATTCTAGTTAACTTATAGTTGTATACTGTCCAGGTTTTCCAGTTGGTTTGCATCATAGTCACCTGGAGTACCTATTAAAAATACAGGTTCCTGGCCAGACCACCTAGAGAAGAGCTTCTGAAAGTATCTAGAATGAGGTCAAAGGAACATGTGTATTTAATGAGCACCTTTGGTTTTGCTGGCGATGTGGAATCCTGGTAGCTCCTACATTTTACCCAAAGTGTACTGACCTTTGTGCTTATTAGAATAAAAAAAAAAGAGGGGGAAGAAAGCATCCAGCTATTTGAGCTTTCTGGTTGGGCTCTCACAGGTGTTTGGCCAAGATAGGGTAAAGCAAAATTCACCAAGTTGGTAGTACAGTAGTCCCCCCTTATCTGTGGAGGATACATTCCAAGATCCCCAGTGGATGCCTGAAACAGCAGATAGTACCAAACCCTATATATACTGTTTCTTTTTCCTGAAAATAAATACTTTTCACTTAAAGGAAGCACTTTATGGCTTCTCTTTGGCATATCCAAATTGCCAGCATCAATACTCTTGCGCTTTGGGGCCATTATTAAGTAAAATCAGTGTTACCTGACAGCACTAAGTGAGTAAAAGGGTGGTAGCGTATACAGCGTAGGTACGCCAGAAGGGATGATTCACTTCTCAGGTGGGACCCAGTAGGCTGCAGGAGATTTCATTGGCGCACAATTTAAAATTTAAGAATTGTTTATTTTCAGACCACGGTTGACGGAAATTGAAACTGAAGATAAGGGGGGACTACTGTTTAGAGGGACAGGTGGAGGCAACAAATTGGAGATAGTACAACACAATAGCCACGATCATAGGCTTTCGAGTTCAACATACTTTGATGAAGCCCTGTCACAACATTGTAACCTTAACCTTGATAAACCTCAATTTCCTCACGGGCAAAATGGGAATAATAAAAGAAACTACGACATGAGGTTGTTGTGAGAATTAAATAAAATAATATAGGTGAAGAGTTACACATATGCTAGTTCAAATAGCAGAAAAACAACTTTGGTTAAATACCACTCAGTCATATTACTGAAGGAGAGGCATGACATGGATAATTTCTATGTTGTTGTTTTGGTTTTCTAATGCATTTTGTTGCTTATATTTGATTCTGGATGTGTGGGACTTCCTGAAAATCAGCAGCGTATGAAGCATTACACTGCAGTAACGTTGCATTCCACATAACATATGATTGACTCTTTTTGTTATTGTTAGCTGCTGTTGACGCTTAGTGGCCAGATCTGCCCACTCACGAGGGGTGGCAAAATGTCAGTACTTTAATTCTGTCATTTCTTCTTCATTTCTTCACTGGACTACTTCTATAAAAAGAAACTTCTGCTCCTCTTGGGAAGAGTTCAGAGACTTTTCCAGCCCCCACCCCCATGTCCCTTGTTCCATTGCTTCTCTGCACTTCCCAGGCTGGTTGGCTCACGTCTCATCTAGGAAAGTCGGAAGGGCGATAGAGTTGTGGGTGTAAAGGCCGTTTCCTGGCGGCTATGCTGGGATATAAGGAAAGGATTTTTAAATTTGGCTTCCAGCTTTCACCAGCCTGCAGTCTGCCATACTTTCTGAAAGGGTGAAAAAAAAGGGGTGAGCCTCTTGACAAGAGTATAAAGAGCAGTACCCCAGTTTCTTGCTTGTCTACTGCTGATGTGAGTTTAAAATGTATCCATATGGATAATGGAATCTACCAATACTCTTTCCCAGATATCCCCAGATATTAGTTAACTTCTGATTTACTAGGTAGGGTTATACTTAATGTATAATAGTTACTGGCTGGGACTGTCACATTTTAATAGGTTTTAAATACATGAATATCTGTTTTACAGGCTACTGTTGCTCTAAAGAAAGCTTATCTGGAGTTTCCTCAGTTATACAATAATAGTATCGTCTGCTCTTTCTTGCCAGATGTTATTTACAAGGTAAAATTCAGGATTTTTTATTGTATATAATGTTATGTTAGTTGGTGGTAATAGCAATGGGAAACAGGATAAGCTTAAGATAGATGCCTGTTAAATTGAACTGAATGAGGGTCACAGATAAGAAGCTTTTTTTTTTTTTTTTCCTGTTTTTTTAATTAGTAAGAGATACTCAGGAAAGGGAATGTACTCCTATCCCATTTAAAAATACCACGACCCCTCTTAGCCCCTTCTTTTATGTTGCCTATAGGCTCATTCAAGGAGCCCTGGTGGTGCTGTGGTTAGGAGCTCTGCCGCTAACCAAAAGGTTGGCAGTTCGAACCCACCAGCTGCTCCTCGGAAGAAAGACATAGCAGTCTGCTTCCGTAAAGATTACAGCCTTGGCAACCCTATGGGGAAGTTCTACTCTGACCTATAGGGTCACTATGAGTCAGAATCAACTTGATGGCAATGGGTTTGGGTTTTATAAATTTCTCTTATTTTAAAGATGCGATTACAATTCTTTTAGGGTTTTGAAGGAAGTGTTATGATTTATACTGTATATTAAATATTTTACATCTATCACATTATTTTCTCCAAGGGTTTATGATAGAGTACATTTGTTTAGTAGATATGGAGCTAGGATAACAACTATGACCACCTCGTCAGAGTGAGCACGTTGGCTAAATCTAAAGAACAAATGAGAAGTATTATACTTTAGATATAATAACTTTTTTTTCCAAAATTTCTTTTCAGATGAGACAGGCAGATCAGAATGTAGTAACAGCTTTAACTCACAGACCTTGGAGCCTTAGTTATACAGGTGATGGGAAACCACGTTATAATTCTGTCTGGAAACAGTCCGTATTTGTGATGATGGACATTTTGCTCGATTGGAGCATGCATAATATCTTGTGGTACCTGTGTGGAATTTCAGCTTTCCTCATGCAAAAGGATTTTGTATCCCCGTAAGTTGGAAGGTCTTTTATCTTCTTCTGACACACTTCCTGAATGCTGTTCTTGGAAAGGAAGGATTAACAGAGTGGAGAGCATGTATTGGTTCCAACTGCAAAGCCCCTTGCATCTTTATTAAGCTGGAATGCCACTGGCTTCTTAGGTGGGAAAAGTTCAGGCATGTTTCACTGTTTCCAAAACAGGTTGAGGAGATAGTCTTGGTTTTTAGTGCATTTTAAAGAAAAAGTGAATGTGTCAGACTCTGATGAAAGAAGGATTAAATTTCTTGGGATTGACTCCCTTTGAAAACCAACACAGGATCCAGGGCACAGCTACAGTGAGGGCATCTCCATCTCATCCTTTCCATCTTTCCTCCTGCTTCCCTGTACATTATAGGCTCTGCTCCATTGCTTCCAAGAAACTTTTCATTCCCTCACCTGCAGTTATCAGTCTCTGAATCTTTCCTTTGGCATTGTTATAGCTGTGTATTTCAGCTGATTACATGCTTAATAGTCCATAACAGTTTTAAGTTTCATATTATTTCAGTCATGCATGCATTCATTCAAGAAATGTTTGCAGAGGTCAGTTGAGAGGCTATTTCTTGACACTATTTGTACTCAATGAATACCATACTTAGCAACTATTATAGATTTCTGGGGCAGCTGGTCATTATTCTAATGGGATTTGTTTTTCCCTCTTTCTCCAGGGCCTACTTGAATAAGTGGTCAGCTAAAGGAATCCAGGTTGTTGGTTGGACTGTTAATACTTTTGATGAAAAAAGTTACTACGAATCCCATCTTGCTTCCAGCTACATCACTGACAGCATGTTGGAAGACTGTGCACCTCAGTTCTAGACTGTTGCCCCATGGAGGAAACATGGGATCCGAAACTGCCTGCTGGCCTCATGCAGGGATATCAGAACACCTGTGTGCTAGCCCAAGCCCTGGGGGATCAGGTGACTCACACAAGCAATGGTCGGGAATTGCATTTTTATCTGAACCAAAGCAAAACCCAGTGTCGCCACCACACTCCATGGAATGTCTGAGTTCAACACTGTTGCTCTTGGAAAATCTGGGCCTGAGATAAGGTCCCACAGCTCCTGCCCCATCCTAGCTGAGATGCACACCGAGACCCAATGAGAATAAGCACAGATTGAGTTGTGCAATTTGGGGATACAGGTGCAAATGCATAGGAAATGCATGACTGCTCAGAGTTGACATTTTTAAAACTTGGCACACTTATGTAATGTGATTTCAAATAATTTGTATTCCACTACATTAACAATGTACTATAGATTTCAAACTTGTGACCATACTAATAAAATCATTAAAAAGAGCATTAAGGGAAAATTGAGTTCCAAGCATCATATACTAAGGTGTTAGGAATTTAGGGAAGCTACTGTTTGCAATCCAGGGAACAGGGGCAACAGCCTTTGGGAAGGCTTCAATGTACAGCAACCAAAATGGTAAGGAAGTCTTAAAACCACTTTGAGGAATTGGTTTATGGCATCTCAAAATAGCAGCTACAAACCACCAGGTGGCACAGTTGCACTTTTTCAGGCTTACTAGGTAGGAAGCTCTACCCCGGATGAACATAGAAAATTAGAACTGGAAAAAACTTGCAAGAACATCTAGGCTAATTTTTAGGAAATTAAAACCTGTGGAAGGGAAGGGCCTTGTTCAAAAATCACACAGCTGGTAACATAGCAGAGCCTGGCTTTCATGGTAATGAAATTATTAAATAAATTATTTACTGTGGAAAACTTGGGAAAGCCGGAAACTGTGTAAGGTGGAAACCTGTCAGAGAAGGAAAACTCAAGTATTTTCCACTAAAAGGAGCGATGAAAAATTGGTAAGACTACAACCTGTCAAAGGCAGAAAACTTGCGAGGCTAGAAAAACTAAGGCAGTCTCGTCGAGTTCTGGCTCTCACAGGTTTCACTGTATTTGCCAGGAACTATACAAGTGTTTGGAGCCCTGGTGGTGCAGTAGTTAAACACCTGGCTGCTAACCGAAAGGTCTGCAGTTCAAACCCTCCAGCCGCTCTGTGGGAGAAAGATGTGGCAGTCTGCTTCCATAAAGATAACAGCCTAGGAAATCCTATGGGGCAGTTCTGTCCTATAGGGTCACTATGAGTTGCTATTTGACTCGATGGTAATGGGTCTGTTTTGTTTTGTACAAATGTTTAACATAAATTATTTAACTCTCACAAAAAGCTTGTGGAGAATTTTCCTCCTCTTTTTACTGATGAGGAAACTGAGGTACTGCAAAGTTAGTTACCCAAGGTCTCAGAGCCTGTGGTAGAATTGAGATTCAAAGCCAGGTGTGTCTGACTCCAGAGCAGCCTCCTAACCACTCACCGGGTCTGCCTTTATTACGTAGAACCCTTGATTCCCAAGTTGGTGCTCTTTCCGACATGAGCTTCCAGGGTTTTTATAGTGAACTGAAGTAGCAGTATTTAAAATGAAGTTGAGTGTTTTAAGCATTGCAAAGCTGCTCTTCTTTAGCTGCACCCCCTTCCACAGCTTAGTCATGGCTTCCCTCCTGCTTCCCTCCAATGGATCACGAGCCTCCGGCTTGGCAGCAGTTCGGTCCAGTGAACTTGGGAAGGCCACCAGCCACTCAGCTAGATGCAAGTGAGAATCAAACCAATTTTTGTTACAGTTGATGGTGGCAGGGGCATGACAGATGGGGCTTGGGGCGTTTTCAGTCAACATGTACAAAGTAATATTCTTGAATTTTAAAATTAGTAACAGGACAAAGATTGATTCAGTGAATGGGACAAATATTTAAACTGCATATATTTCCATGCTGTGATAAGAGAGAGGAGGAAGTGGTTAAAAAAAAAAAGGAGAGGGAGAGAGACCTGCAAGATCTCAAGTAGACAGAAGTAGAAGCGGAAAAAGGACATAATAGACAAAAACATCCCACCTGGCTGTTTTTATCAGAGCCCTTGAGGAAATTATCACCTCAGTATCATCCTATAAATAATAATTAACAAACTGGCCACTGTTGTTTCAAACCAAAGATTGGCGACTCAGGCGGCTTCCATAAATGAGGGAAGCTGGCACAGGGTGTTAGGAAGGAGGGGATAGGAGGAGCCTCGCCTCACAAACCCCACCCAGCGTGCTGGAATGCAGGCGTGTGTGGCCAGATCTACTTTTTCCTTTTTGTTTTTTGATAATATGTTGTTGAGTTTTTGGTGAAAATTTACACAGCAAGTTAGGTTCCCATTTGACAATTTCCACACAAATTGTTCAGTGACGTTAGTTACATTTATCACAACGTCAACATTCTCTGTGTTCTGTTTGTTCCCTTTCCAGTACTCTAGTTTCCCTGTCCTCTTACTTTATCATCTTTGCTTTTGAGTAATTGTTGACCTTTTGGTCTCATGCTGATGGTTTTTAAGTAGGACACTGATCTTATGGGTAATAGCCTTTATTTTGTGTGCCCTTCTGCTATTTTGCTAAAAGGTGATCTCGGGATAGGCTCGGTTCTATGTTTAAAGAGTGTCTCAGGGTGAACGTTTTGGGGAGTGCTCTCTACTGTGCCAGTTTGGCTTTTTTTTTTTTTTAAGAATTTGAGTTCTGCTCCATATTCTTCTCCCATTCTATCCGGGACCAACTACTGTGCCCCCCAGTCAGAACAGTCAGTGGTGGTAGGTGGGTACCATCTAGTTCTTCTGGTCTCAGGGTCGATGAGGTTGTGGCTTATGTAGATTTGTTTTTTCTCTGCGTGGTTACCTTGTTACTGTTTTGCTCCTGGTGAGTAGAGACCCATTGCTGTGTCAAGATGGCCGCTCCTAAGCTTTTAAGATCCCTTATGCTACTCACTTCACTAGGATGCAGATGATGATTTTTGTGAACTATGTTATGCCAGTTGACTGAGTTGTCCCACAAAACTATGGTCCTAAGCCTTCAAACCCAGAAAACCAATGTTGGAAGGTGTTTGGTTATGTCTGAGAAGTATCCGTATTTGTGTCTTCAATGAATATATGTGCTTGCTCCCACATATTTGCATTTACACGCACCTATAGATACTTCTGTTCTTACCTATGTACACACCTATACCCACCTGTATACCAGTTTGCCTGTACCCATCCGTATGTGCTCAAACACTCATTTTTACTTTGGTTGTGCTGTATTCACTACATCTATATCCGGTGCCACTTTTCCCATCACCAAAAATAACTAGTCTCTATGGTATAAAGCATACTTTCCCCACCCTCCCCCCCCAGTAACCACCAGTGAACATCGGTCTCTATATTTATCTATTCGTGTCTTCTTATAAAAGATGGATCATACAATATTTTTTCCTTATATGCTTATTTCACTTAGCATATGTCCTCTAGGTCCATCCATGTTATATTTCTCCGACTCATTGTTTTTTATGGTTGCGTAGTATTCCATTATATATATGTACCACAATTTACTTGTCCACTCATCTGTTGATGGGCACTTTGGTTGTTTTCATTTATTTGCTATTGTGAATAAAGCAACGAAGAACATAGGTGTGCATATGTCTGTTTATGTCATTATATTTAGGTCTCCAGGGTATATACCTAGGGTGAGATTGCTGGATCATAGGGTAGCTCTACTTCTAGTTTTTTGAGAAAGCGCCATAACATTTTCCATAGTGGTTGTACCATTTCACAGCCCTACCAGCAATGAATGAGTTTCAGTCTCCCCACATCCTCGCTGACATTTGTTATCTCTTTTTATCAGTGCCATTTTAGCTGGGCTAAGATGGTATCTCATTGTAGTTTTGATTTGCATCTCTCTGATGGCTGCTTGTATGTCCTCATTGGTGAAGGTTCTGTTCATGGCCTTTGCCCATTTTGTGATTGGGTTGTTTTGTTGTTGAGTTGTTAAGAGTTTTCTATAGATTTTAGAGATTAGAGCCTTATCAGATAAATTGTTTCCAAAGTTTTTTTCCAGTGTGTAGGTTGTCTATTTACTCTTTCAGTGATGAGCATAAGTTTTTAATTTTCATGCAGTCCCATTTATCTGTTTTATCTTCTTTTATTCATGCATTTGTTATGTTTGTTATCCTATTTTTACAGAAGATTAGGTCCCATACTCTTCTCCCTATGTTGTCTTCCAAGAATTTTATGGTTTTAGGTTTAACATGTAGGTTTTCAATCCATTTTGAGTTAGTTTTTGTGTATGGTGTGAAGAATGGGTCCTATTTCATGTTTCTGCAGATAGATATCCAGTTTGCAGCACCATTTATTAGAGACTATTTCTGTCCCACTGAATGGACTTTGACTCCTTGTCAAAAATCAGTTGTCCATAGATAGCAGGATTGAATTATGAGTTTTCAATTCTACTCCACTGGTCTGTGTCTATCATTGAACCAATACCAGGCTATTTTGATTACAGTGGCTGTATAGTATTTTTTGATATGGGGGAGTATAAGGACTCCTGCTTTGTTGTTTTTCTTCAATATTGCTTTAGCTATTCTGGGTTTCTGTCCATATGAAGTTGGTCATTAGTTTTTCCATTTCAGTAAAGAATGTTGTTGGTATTTGTATCTGCATTGCATTTTATCTGTAGATTGCTTTAGGTAGAATTGACATTTTCACTATATTAAGTCTTCCAGTCCATAAGCACGGGATTCCTTTCCATTTTTGTAGGTTTCTTTTAGTCTCCTGTAGTAGTGTTTTATAATTTTCATTGTATAAGTCTTTTATGTCCCTGATTAGGTTAATTCTCAATCATTCAACACTTACTGCAGTACCTGTCACATAACAGATGCTCAATACATGTTTGTTGAAGGAATGAATTATGGGATACCCAAGTGTCTTAGTCATCTAGCGCTGCTACAACAGAAATACCACAAGTGGATGGTTTTAATGAAGAGAAGTTTATTTCCTCACAGTCAAAGTAGGCTAAAAGTCCAAATTCAGGGCATCAGCTCCCGGGGAAGGCTTTTTCTCTCTGTCGGCCTTCTTCTCTTTGGTGTTCCCCCGGACTAGGAGCGTCTCTGCGCAGGGACCCTGGTCCAAAGGACGTGCTCTGCTCCGGGCACTGCTTTCTTGATGGTATGAGGTCCCCCTGTCTCACTGCTCACTTCTGTCTTTTATATCTCAAGAGATTGCCTCAGGACACAATCCAGTCTTGTAGATCAGGTCCTGCCTTACCAACACAACTGCCACCCATCCTCCCTCATTAACATCATAGAGGCAGGTTTTACAATGTGTAGGAAAATCACACAGTACCAGGAATCATGGCCCAGACAAACTGATATACACATTTTGGGGGGGACATAATCAAACCATGACACCAAGTGAACACTTCCTTGAGGGAACTGGAGATACAGACTTAGAGTGAAATGAACGGTCAGGGCCAAAGATAAATGGCTCAGGATTCAGCATCAAGGGGCCAGCCAACATCATGACAGATAGCATTCTTCCCAGGAAAGTAAATACAGAAAAAGTCACATCTGCTGCTGCTCATTGGACTGCCCTTCTGCAACTCAAGATGCCCGAGACATAGATAGCAAAGAAAGGCTACCTCTTAAAACGTTGATGAAATCCACTACTTCCTTGATACAGTACTCGCTTTCTTATTTGGAGATTGGTGTCTGCAATCCGGTTTTGACAAAAATTTCACCAAGTTGAAGGATAAAACAGTACACAATACTGGGGAAGCCAGCACAATTTGTACAAGGCAAGGTCATGGAAGCTCCATAGACACATCCAAACTCCCTGAGGGACCAAATTGCTGGGCTGAGGGCTATGGGGACCGGTCTTGGGGAACATCTAGCTCAACTGGCATAACATAGTTTATAAAGACAATGTTCTACATTCTACCTTTGTGAGTAGCATCTGGGGTCTTAAAGGCCTGTGAGTGGCCATCTAAGATACTCCACTGGTCTCACCCCTTCAGGAGCAAGGGAGAATGAAGAAAACAAGACAGAAGGGAAAGATTAGTCCAAACGACTAAGGGACCACAGCTATCACGGCCTCCACCAAACTGAGTCCAGTACAACTAGATGGTGCCCAGCTACTACTACTGACTGCTTTTACAGGGATCATAACATAGGGTCCCAGACAGAGGTGGAGAAAACATGTAGAACAAAATTCTAACTCACAAAAAAAGAACAGACTTACTGGCCTAAGAGAGACTGGAGAAACCCCAAGAGTATGTCCCCCAGACACCCTTTTAGCTTCTTAATGAAGTCACTCCCAAGGTTCACCCATCAGCCAAAGATTCAACAAGCCATAAAACAAAACGAGACTAAAGGGGCACAAGAGCCCAGGGGCAAGGACTAGAAGACAGGAGGGGACAGGAAAGCTGGTAATAGGGAACCCAAGGTTGAGAAGAGAGAGTGTTGACATGTCATGGAGTTGTTAACCAATGTCATAAAACAATATGTGTACTGTTTAATGAGAAACTAATTTGTACTGTAAATATTCATCTAAAGTACAATTTTAAAAAAATGTTTCTTTAGGCTTGTTCAGAACTCTTAAGTGCTTACAAGATCTAAATCAC